TTTTTTTTATCGGTAAATGTAAATTATTCGTTCAAAACTTATTTACAAACACTGTGAGCATATCCGGGCTAACAAGATCACAGAAGATGTACAAACAAAAAAGATCTTGAGACCGACCCGAAATGAATCAAAACATAAGGATACAATGTAAACATAACTTTGTATACATGTGTTTTGAACCTTCTAACAATGTCCTGAATGTTTGCAACTACTCAACAACTATCAAGAGAGACTAGAGTATAACAGATACATTCCAGTGCATAGAGAGCTTGTTCATGTTTAAGCAAGCCTCAATCCCTTCTTACTAGACCAATAATATGATTAATCAAGCTCATCAGAAGAAGACGCTCTATAATCTTATATGTAATAGGAGTACTAAGCTGATCCGCAGTTAAGGGATAAGTGTATACAATATTACGATTCAAATAGTCCAACATTGAAACTCTTATGAATATATCTCATTTCAAAAGCGAATCAAGCACTTCAGCAAGAAGGTAGATACATATATCTTTATCCTAACATTGGTTTGGAAATATGTTTTTCTAGCCTCAATTCAAAATAGTATTTTGCATAATTTCATTAATAGGCATGCCTGATCCAAAACAATTTCACATGACCATAGACAACTGCATATTGTTGTTCAAGGTATACCGTATACTTGTCTAACAATTTCACGCTGATGCGGCTGTCGAGAACTTTTCTTTTTCACACCTGCATATGGACATTACACTAACCTAATACCTGCCAATATCCACTTGAATTAAGCTTCACTGCACCACTACCACATTTGGTATAAAGAATTGGATAGTATTAAGTAAGAAAAAGAAGTTAAATATTATTCATTATACTGTCCAATCCCGTATGCTCATTAGAGGTACTTACCTGAGCTATTCTCAACATTATCCTTCCTACCAACAATAAACTTATCAAACAGGATTTTATGAAGTTGCCTGGCCTGTAGTATCATAAGGTTACATTCATAATATGATAATCCTCGATCCTTGATGGGTGCAATACATTAACAAAATTACATGGACTTAACGAACTATCTTTATGGTACAGATTCAGGTTCCAAAAAATAAGCATCACAAGTGTATGCTTGTGAAAGAGTTTCTTTCATTCTACTCCTATTATTATTGTTTTTTCTCATTTTTTCAATATGTCCCTTTTTCAAGTTTTCTCACTGTTTTCTTTTGTATTGGGAGGATTCATACCAAAGATGCAACCTTTTCCTTGAGTTCTGATAGGTTAACCTAGATTATAACAAATTGAAACTTTTTTATCAAAAGGAATTTCCCAGAGAAAAAAGAAAACCAGAAATTCAAGATGGTCAGATTAAGATTGACGGGTAAAGACCGCTCGGTGAAAATCCACATGCATCAACACGGAAATAGGTAAAGTGCATACAAGAGAATATCAACAGAAAACTGGTAACTGAAGATTCTAGCACCCTATGCTTCTTTATAACAGTAAATGTGTTAATGACCAGAAATCAGTGCCTAGAGCCTCAAACTAAAAATTGAAGGGCCAAAGCGATCTAGAACCATAAATGTGTTGTGTATTGATGAACATCAATATATAGAAACAATGTTACAATCATTTTACTCATCACAGATCCAAACTTAATATAGAAACAAAAGTATGCCTTATATTCAAAAGCTAGCTATGAACTTTCTTGAACGCTATGATCCAACCTAGCTACATCGTATTCACAACCAATGCTGTTTATATATATATATATATATCTTCAAAGAACTATAGCGGACAAGTCAATGATTTTTTAAACAAACGAATCAACATGAGTACAATGAAATATATCAATGAAATTTGCTGCATTAAGCGAAATGGCCCTTCTATTTAATGTGATCTTATCCAGATAATGTTAGAATTATGTTGGCCGATCAAAATAAGTGGAATGCATTCACAAAACATTTTGTCAAAACAATCTGTAAAGGACAGCCAAGATTCAGTAAAGATTCAATCATTAAGTAAAAATACCCAGAAGAACGCAAGGTTTCCTCTTGCATAATCTGCTCAATATTTATCTCTATAGAGAGATCAGTTCTGAGGCCATACAAGTTTACCGACTTAAACTCCTCCAATTCTGCTGATTTCTATGTAAACTCCAATCCCAATTGAAAAATATCCTTCTATATGTCAACATGTTTTTTAATTCAACGAAGCAATAAGTCATCAATATCACCAACTCTTCATTTATCTAATTAAATAAATTCTTCTACACAAGTAGCACTCATTTTACATACATTCTAGTCACAGAAGTTTCAGTTCCAAAAACCTTACTAACCTTAGCTAAATGAAGAATTGATAGCATAAGCAGCAGAATTGAATTATAATGGTAGAATCAATAAAGAAGCTACAGAGTAACATCTTACACTTCCTAAAGAGGTGTTCAAATTACACAGGGAAAACAATGGCATGTAAATTATAAAATGAGGACAGTAGGCAGAAATTGGGGGAATTAAGAAAGACTGAAGATGCAAAATCTCAAAAAGAAAAGTAAGATGTATACTAAGAACTCATCCTAAATCACAGAGCATAGTAGTAAGCAAAATTGAATAACGGTGTAATACATCTATGTCATTCAGAAAGCACAGTTAGCTGATATTCATATTACTCAAATCCTAAATGAAAATCGAGGCCACATTTTGTTACCAATTTAGTATATAATAAGGGATTCAAAGTTGGACTTAGAACAATTAGATTAAATTTGGATTGATTTTCTTAAATTCCAATTCAACACTCTAGTTCTATGCCACCAAACAAAGTCAAACAGTTATCTCAAATACGAATCGCAGCCCGTTAATATCAAACATCATTCCAAAGACAGATTTCAAGAATAACAAAATGCTAGTTATTGCTCAAGAAATGTCAATAGAAACTACAAATTTCTGAGAAAAATGCCAGAGAAAAAGGATAAAAAAAACAATAATAACTCAAACAAGGAAATCTCTAGTTAGTTCTAGATGAAACTTAAATATACATATAGTAATCACATTAGAGTTCGAAAGGAATTTCACATTATTTGATTAAACAGGAAAATAACTAAATATAAGGGAAAAATTGAAATACCTTGAAGAGGTTTACTCTCCAGTTCAGACATGCTTGAAGAGCTCCCCCCTTGTGATTCCAACGACCCTTGCGACGTTTGTTGCACGGATCCTTTCATCTCACCACTACCCTTCCCTTTCGGCACTGTTACATCAATCCCACCTCCAAGAAGAGCCTGTCTAGCAGAAGCAGCAGTCCATGAAGACAGTCGTACTGGCGGCCCAGACCATCTTTTCGCAGCAGCCAAACACTTATCTCTACCTAATTTCGCCCTCAAATTCACCTCAATTTCTCTCTTCTCCTCCAAAATCAAATTTCCACCACCACTGCCGCTGCCTTCTTTGTCACCCTTCAATATCCTCTGCTTCTCCCACCTCCTCCTCTTAGCCTCCATTCTTCTCAAGGTCTGTGACTCCTTCCTCTTCCGCCACTCCTCCTCTGTCTCTACAGGCAATGAAGCGGTCCTCACCAGGCTATTACACGCGACCGGTGGTGTCACCGCATCATTATCTTCTCTCACCAATGGTAAACACTCTGCTATAGAAGAGGACCTCACTAACTTCTTAAAACTCTTGTCTACACCAAATCGGCCCCCTAATGACAACCCCAGATTCAACTCAATCTCCTCATCCTTCTCTTTCGCTGCCTCGTATTCACTACTACTACCCATAAACCTCTCCAACAGGTCCCTTGAAAATCTATTTCTTGTAATCTCCAAAGAAAGATTCTCCATATTTGTAACTCTTAAATCCCTCTTCCCATCATCACCATCCCCCATAGGATACAAACAAACCCCAGCCCAAGAACACAATATTAAAAAACTACTTCAACTACAAGGAGACTTGTACGGATGTTTATGCAATACATGATACGATTCAAACGTGCCCAGATGGAAAAATCTGATCTTTGACTCCATATTAACTTTCTTTGCCTCCAAAATAAATTAAAAGTTACACACAGTTCA